TATATATATATATATATATATATAATTTTCTTCAAATTGACCCCAGTCTTTTAATTTGTCAAATTTTGGTCTAGATGGGTACCGACACTACAGTCATCTTCAATCGTCTCTAAGATGAATATCAACTTTTGACAGCATAAATGGTATTAAGATCAATACAAATTTTCCGAAGTTAGATAGTAGTAAGATATTAGTAACTTTCCCAGCCTAGACCAGTATTACGATTATTATCAATTTCTTTAGCTTATAGACGTATTAATATCTATGCCATATTTCAAAATCTGTACCGACCTGGTACTCTTTCTTTTTTCGAATCCCCGTCCCAATAAACATTCTCACCCTTTCAGCCATGGGGCGTTATTATGTTATGGTCAATCCCACTATTCGTTGGTAAAATAATAGCCCAAGAATTGGCGGTGGGTGGTGATGACTAGCTGCCTTCCCTCTAGTCTTTCACTGCTAAATTGGTGGCCCGGCATGGCCAGGTGGTTAGGGCGCTCGACTCGCAATCTGAGGGTCGCGGGTTCGAATCCCCGTCCCATCAAACATGCTCGCCCTGTCAGCCGTGGGGCGTTATAATGTGAGGTTCAATCCCACCAATCGTTGGTAAAAGAGTAGCCCAAGAATTTGGCGGTGGGTGGTAATGATTAGCTGCATTCCCTCTAGTCTTACACTGCTAAATTAGGGACGGCTAGCGCAGATAGCCTTCGTGTAGCTTTGCACGAAATTCAAAACAAACACTGCTAAATTAGGGATGGCTAGCGCAAACAGCCCTCCTGTAGCCTCGCGCGAAATTCACAACAAACAAACACTTTTTTTTTATTCTAGACTAATAATGAAATCTGTTTCATTTTCCCTCAAATTCAAACAGAACTTAATCTATGTGGGCGTCTCATATTCTAACTGTTCTTAAAACCTTTTAATAAATCTCGTCCAATGATAAACATCCTCGTATGACTTTTCCTACTGGAGCTTAACTTCTACAATCTTAAAAACGATTTAGTTATTTATTCAAGTAACATAACACTACACTATAAATAGGCAAAATATTAAAGCGGATGGCTTATAATGCTTCAGCTCAAATATTATTAGGTTTTATCACAGAAATGAGATCAGAATAACCTTCATGATGATATTCAGCAGATAAAAACTGGAAAACGAAATCACTGAAATATTGTCCACATAATTCTTATGAAGCAGCACTGCCTATCGTCTCGATAGCTGTTTGGAATCAGCACTGCTTATAAGTTCCATAATTTTTTGGAAGCAGTAATGTATCTGAAGATTTTTATAATGTGTTTTATAAATAAAATTATATTAAAGAACTAGCTGGAATACCCGTTCATTGGACGGGTGATATAAAAACTCGTTTGTAACGAAGGATAGGAAACTGTGCTTCTATTTTTTTTTCTTAACATAATAAACATTAAAAGTTCAATACAAAAACATAAAGGTACCAATATTGAAGAGAAAGACGTATTGTTTTCAAGAATTCATTCAATATGAAATTAAATAGGAATCAAACGCCTCATGACCTTCCTCATGTCATCCTGTATCACTGTGTCAAGTTTGGTGCTGATTGATCAAGAAATGTGAAAGGTGCAAACAAACAGACACAAACTTAGCTTTATATATTAGATAATACTTTAAGATCTCTAGTTTTATGTTGTTTCAGTTTTTTGTGTGCTGCACTAATGAGACACTTTGTACCTTAAATATTTTATTACTCTGTAACTTTTACATTTGAAATTTATAATTTTTACAAATACTTTTAATTTCAGAAATTTTCAAAGCTACAAGTAGCAACTGGAATAATTTATTGTCATATGTTTTTTACTTGTATATTTATGTTTTATTCATTTATTTATATTGTTTGTTTCTGGTTTTTTAAATACTTTTATACAGTGGGAATTTGTTGACAACTCTTCCTCCAGATGTGTTTTCGGGAATGCAAAATCTCCAAGAAGTAAAGTTGGTAGAAAATAACATTCAAATAATACCTTATGATGTTTTTACCGATTATCCAAAATCTCTCAAAACATTTGACTTGTCAAGTAAGAGCCGCTTCATTTTGATTATAGGTTTGAACAACTATTTGAAGAATGTTATAATTTAAACGTTCCAACGTTTGATTTTTCCAAGCCCGTTCCCTTGGCTGTGGTTTCGCTAGATAGTAGATAGGGACAGTGGGAATCTCGTTAATCCATTCATGCGCGTCACTAATTAGATGACGAGGCATTTGTCTACCTTAAGAGAGTCATAGTTGGAGTACTTAGAATTAATATGTTCAGTGTGTTTCTAAACTTTTTTATAAAAATCACATTAACGGCTAGTGGATTCATTTAGCTAGATATGTATTTACTACTATGAAGATATTTCAAAAATGTCACTAAAATAAGGGGTTCAATGGGTACAGTGCACACAGACCATTGTGCAGCTTTGTTCTTAAATAAAAGTAACAAATTAAAATACCAGAGCCTTCCCCTCACAATAAAATTATTTTAACGTAGAGAAAAGTCTGCGTATAATTCTACATATTAATTTACATACGTTATGAGTCTTAAACAACCAATTAAAATGTCGTTAAAAATAATTATATAAAACCTTTGATAGAATTGGAAATGCCATGAATACATTTGATTTAAACATCGACAAATAGTTTCTGTATTTTAATGAAAGACACCAAACCATTATAATTTATTTTGGAAAGAAAATCAAAACATAGTATATCATTTCTTAGTAACATCACACTAAAATTACAAATGAAATGTTGTAAAGTGTTATTGCAATTGAAATGCCCTTGTAGTCCCAAACTTGTCTGTGAACATGAATTATATCTAAGATAGTCTGAGGGAAGTCATACAGAAGTGGCTTTCCTGATTCTCTTTCTTAAAGAAGTTAATCTAAAAACTGGTTTTATTCGTAGCGATATGAAATTTACTACTCTTCTTCTAACATTTATTCGAAGGTCTTTGAACCGAATGAACCGTTTGTTATATCTATATATATAACATCTTCAGTTGAAATACATATTTTTTACTATGAGTAGTATTCTTGTTTAGAGATATTTATGGCATTAGCGATGTTTCAGACTCTCAACTAAAGGTTGAGGTCTTTCATCAAGTGCATTTTGTTTTCTGTGTTGAAAGTTATGGCGTTTCATTTTCTGTCTTAAGATCTAAAGTACTTGTATTTCCTTTACCGTTAACCAAATAAAGATCTTAACATAGAAATCAAAACGTTTTTAACTTCAAGATTCCAGTTTTCAGCAAAGGGAACGAAAAGCTTTCCTCGCCTGTAAGTCGTCAGGTATATATCATCCACAAAAGATTTAAAACCAATGATGCTTCTTTTTGGCTACGACACCAGTTAACTTGAACTTGGAATTAAGAAAATACTTGTAAACTAGTCAATTTTAAGTTCTTTTCAAGACAGATGCTAAGAATTGAGGATCCAGAGAACACTAAAACAAGAATTATCAAAACTTGAATATTTCAAACAAGTCTGGCCATAGCTTCAATAAGTTCTGTCTTATTTATAGTCTTAATGTACTTTCATCCACATGCCTTTATATTTAGATCTACAAGTTAACTGTTTGTACAAAAACCTTTAAAAATATTCTACAATGTGACATATAAACATCCCATCTATATGAAAAAAACACGACAACTATAATATTCGGAGGTCATTCAGACACATTTATAAATTTCCTTTTTTGCAGAAAAGATATTAAAGTATATACTGTTATTCGCGAAAGAAAATTATCTCTTGTTAATTATGAATAGTTTTCTAATCGCAAATCGTTAATTTTTACCTTCTATTAAGTACGCGAAGTCTTAATCTTCACAAAACAATACCATATCAAATGTTAATTACCACAATATATTATAAACCTTATTTCCTTGAAGTATATGTTGTATTAGAGAATTTTGTTTGTTTCTAGTTAAGCACAAAGCTACACAATGGACTATCTGTGCTCTGCCCACTACGGGTATCGAAACCCAAATTCTAGCGTTGTAAGTCCGCAGACATACCGCTGTGCTACTGGAGGGGGGGAGCTGTATTAGAGAAAGTATAATTGCAGAAAGTCTATTCTAATGAAATATGCGTTGTGCCGGAGAAAGGTAAATCGTATGAAGTTTTCTAATGTATTAGAGAAAATATAATAGCTATTCGCTAGGAGTGGACGCAGTATGGTAATTTTTTCTTACACAACTGCATTCTTGTGTTGTTGAAGTTTTTCATTTAGAGGAATTATATATGAATATATAATGCTTGAGGATTCTCAATTTTTCACAAATATTAAAGATGTCCCGAAAAAAAGTGTGTCGTTACTATTTAGATAGTACTAGTAAGATAGCTCATCTATAACATAGGCAACTAACATTTTAAGTTGTCGTACCTAGTGATGACAAAACCTTGTCGAAACGTTGTACATTTGCTGTTATGTTAAACTTATATTAAAGTTTTTCTTCATTACCCATTCAAGCCGTCTCCAGCCATTATTAGTCTCAAAGTGGGTTCCTCGTCATCGAATTTGAATTCTATGTTTGTTTGTTTTGAATTTCGCGCAAAGCTACACGAGGGCTATCTGCGCTAGCCGTCCCTAATTTAGCAGTGAAAGACTAGAGGAAAGGCAGCTAGTCATCACCACCCACCGCCAACTCTTGAGTTACTCTTTTACCAACGAATAGTGTGATATTACGCCCCTACGGTTGAAAGGGCGAGTATGTTTGATGGGACGGGGGGTTTGAACCCTCGACCCGTAGATTGCGAGTCGAGCGCTCTAACCA